CTTTGGTTTTTCATGTTATTTTTTTCTCTGTGATTTTGACATGTGAATTTCTTTTGTAGTTTCTGATTCTTGTGTGAGACGCAGGCCTTCAAGTTTAGGTCTGCTTCTTTTTGTGAACTTTATGCGGCTTTGTGGTTTACTTTTTGGGCATGAAAAGCTGGTTCCTCTAAGCTTCTGGTTCTCTCTTTTGATTTTATATTGGAGTGGATGGGTTGCTTTTGTCTTCAGGAGTTCCCACAGAGGCCCAGTTCAGGTGAGGGTCAGATGCCCTCAGTCTTTCTCCTAAGGTCTGGATCCCTCCAGGAATGATTTTGGCCTCAGGAATTTGGGTGTTGGACTGGCTTGGGAGCCTGGCCCAGGAAAGATGCTGGTCTAGGGCAGCTGGTGGCCTTGATACCCAGAAATACAAAGGCAGATGGGGTGGGAAGAGGCCCCAAGGAGTCCTGGGGACTGCACTGAGGAGCTGGGTTGGTCTGGATGCAAAGGATCAGGAAAATGAAAGGTCAGCCCCTGTGACCCAGAAAGAGGCTGGAGGGTGGTGCAGGCCCAGGGAAGCAGAGGGAGGTGAGGGCGGGGCCAGGCCCAGAAGCAGTGCTCCTGGGGCCCAGAGAAGGCACTCTATTGGTCTGGATGAAAAGGATCAGGAATCAGTATTGGTTCCCCAGGCGTCTGGGTCCCCAAGACAAGGAATGGGGCAGGGACCAAACTAGGAGGAGAGAATGGAGGCAGAGATGGGAGGGTGAATGAGGCTGGGGGAGTCAAGGCACAGAGGGCTTGATCCATAATTGAAAATTTCAAATTAAAACTACTTCTTCTAGAAGGAACATAATTTGTTAGGAGATTTTTTTCTTTTTTTGGTCTCCCTGCTACTGTAGCCCCAGCTAACCTGGAACTCATTATGTGGACCAGGCTGGCCTTGAACTCACAGAGATCCACCTGCCTTTGCCTCCCAAGTGCTGGGATTACAGACCACCATGTCCAGCTGGAGATTTCTTTTAATTACACTTAATGATATTTCAAAGGGAACAGATGGCTTGCAAATTATATTAATAACATAATAAATGATAATCACCCTCTGATTTGAGTAAGGGACAGGAAAAAAAAGAAACTAGGGTAAAAATTATAAAGAGTGTATGTTCCAAGGTTCAGTATATTTGCAGAGATATGTGGCAAAATTATCTCAACTATTCAGGGTCCACACAAAGGGGACCCATAGCTAGCAGTTCTATAATTTATAGTGACAGATAAATAGCACAGATACATGCACTACTTAGTCTACTGAGAAGTGAGCACTCAAAGGATTCTCATGAAACGGTCTCCCAGTAATAGCTAATAGAGTATCAGCTACCAAGCAATCACTTCATAAAATGTCCTTCCGCTTCCATCACTCTGTCGCACTAAAGCGAGGTTCCCTACAGCTTCTTAGACACTTGATTCCATCCTGTCCAAGAAGCAGTTCTCCTTCATTCAAGAGCAAAATGTAAAAATATGTAAAGTGATGGTTCTTTTTTAAATTAAAAAAGTTATTAGTGTCAGCTGGAGAAATGCCTTTAGAGCATGGGCAGCTCTTGCAGGGGACTCTCAGCTGTCCGTAACTCCAGTTTCAAGGGCTCCCACACCCTTTTCTGGCCTCCACCAGCAGGCATCTTACATACATGGAGGTCAGAGGACAACTTTCAGGAGTTCTCTCTTTCCACCATAGGTTCCACGGCTTGAGCTCAGATTGTCAGGATTGCACAGCAAGTGCTTTTACCCAGGGAACCCTCTTGCTTATGTAAAGTTAATTTTCCTTTAGATCATAAACTTCTCTTTGCAAAATGGACGATAGGTCTGTATCCTCCTCCTCGTCAGTGCACATACACATTCCTGATCGTCTGCTATATTTCAGAGGGATCAAGATCTCTCACCCTTCCCTCTTACCCCTGCTCTCCACTTCCCTCCCTCACTCTCCTTAGACTCCAGACTAAGCCTCCTGGTCTCAAAGGCAGGAGGGCTGCTGAGTAGGTGTAAGAGCTGGCATGCAGGATGCTTGTGCTGATAGGACCCATTCACCTACTTCCACTGGACATTACATTGAGAGTGAGATTTCCATTCATGGCAGTTGATAGACAAACTTGGCGGGACCTGTCTAAACACACATTTATTCCACTTTGGCAGGAATGTGGTCAGGGATGTGATTTTTCTTAGTAAACAACTAAGCCTAACACATTAAAAAGGTCTTCGAATTTTCTTTTTACAGAGGAAGTGTGGTAACTTTAGCCTACAAAAATTGTAATGCAGATGTTAGAGTACCATCTGAGCTACCCAAGAAAAATGAGTTATTAGTGTGTTAATATTTTGTGTTCTTGGTAAAGAGTTCATAGAATGTTTAAGTACTTAAAGCTTCTTGATGAACCTAAAACATACCTTTGTGTAATAGAATCTTGGGAAGATGAATAACTTTGCTTTGGGGATTGTTTGTCATTGAAGCAGTTACTTCTTAAAATCCTTTTAAGCCAGTATGTCTGCTTAAGGTTCTCACTGACTGTGATTTCTTTTGCATTGCAGCGTTTTAATCTTGGGTGCATCAGGTGGAGTTGGTACTTTTGCAATACAGGTAAAATGATTTTTTAAGTTTTGTAAATAAGATTTTGTTTATATGAATTTATAAATTATTTTTCCTTTAAAGCTGAGAGAAAGGTGTGTTTGGTGAATGCTTTTTAATTTCAGCTTGCTTTACTAAAATCAACATGTTCTACTATAAAAGGAAGTGTTAACTTTTCTAGTTGTGTGTGTGTGTGTAACAGTTGGTTAGAATGAAGTATCCAGAGATATACCTATACATGTGTGATTTTTTTGTATGCATGTATATATGTTTATGTGAGTATATGCCATGATGTGTGTGTGTGTGTGTGTGTGTGTGTGTGTGTGTGTGTCCCCACAGATGCCAGAAGAAGGTGTCAGATCCCCTGAAGATGGAATTATAGGCAATTATGAGCTGGTAACCAAACTCAAGTTTGGTTCTGGGAGAGTAGCAAGAGGACTTAACTGCTGAGCCATCTCTCCAGTTCTTTCAGTTGATTTTTAGCGTGGATGACAAGCTCATTAAATGAGGGAAAAGAGGCCTTTCAACAAATGATGGGGCAGTTGGATATCCTCACTTATCCTCCGTATGTCCTCTGTATTCAAAAGAATGAAGCTGAACCCTAACCTCAAATTGAGATGCAAAAAAGCTCAAAAACAACGGAAATCTCAAAGTGAGTCAAAGACTTAGATATAAGAGCACAAACCATAAAATGCTCAGAAGAAAACAGTTGTAAATATTCATCACCTTACATTTAGCAACAGATTCTTAGATGTGAAACGAGAAACACAGACAGAGATCAAACAAGTAAATTGAACTTTATCAAATTAAAATTTTTGATATGCCGGGTGTGGTGGCACATGCCTTTAGTCCTAGCACTCAGGAGTCAGAGGCAGTCAGATCTCCGTGAGTTCGAGGCCAGCCTGGTCTCCATAGTGAATCCAGGACAGCTGGGGCTACAGGGAGACCCTGTCTCAAAAAGACCAAAAAACAAAAAAAACAAAAAAACCAGTTTTTGATACATAAAAGGGTGTTATCAAGGAAATAAAAAAGAGAAACCTTATGTTCTAGTTACTTATATTGTTGCTGTGACAAAATGTCTGACAAAAACACCTTAAGAAGAAAGGAGCTGGGCCTTTAAACCCAGCACTCCAGAGGCAGAGGCAATTTTTTTTAAAAGAGAGCCAGTGAGCCTGGGGAGATGGCCCAGCAGTTAAAAGCACTGGCTGCTCTTACAGAGGACCCAGGTTTGGTTCCTAGTACCCGTATGGCACCTCACAATGGTCTATAACCCCCATTCCTGGGGATCTAGTGCCCTCTTCTGGTCTCTGTGAACACTGCAGGCAGGTGGTGCACTTAAATACATGCAGGCAAACACTCATACATATTAAATAAGTAAATAAATAAATAAATAAATAAATAAATAAATAAAATAGTTTTTAAAACAAGAGTGGGTCATCATGGCAAGGATCACTTCCCATCATGGTAGGAAGTCATGGTAGTGGGATCTTAGGGCAGCTGGTCACACTGTGCCTGCAGAAAGGAAGTCAAGAGCAAGGAATGCTGATGCACAGCTAACTTTCTCCTTTTGATGCAACCTGGTACCCCAGCACTGGAAGTGGCACCACCCACATTTAAGGTGGTTCTTCTCACTTCAGTTATCCTAATGGAGATAATCCTTCACAGACATGCCCAGAGGCTTGTCTCCTAGGTGAGTCTAGATCCTGTCAAGTTGACAATCAGTGTTAACTATCACACCATAGAATTGGGGAAAATATTTATGTTATTAATCTGACAAGGTCTATTATTCATAGTGCATAAAGAACTCATTAACTCAACAATACAATTTTTGAAATAAAAAAGAAGCTAAGTATGGTGGTGCATGCTTGTAATCCCAACACTTGGGGGACCAAAGCAGGAGGATATTTAGTTTGAGGCCAGCCAGGGCTACATATCAAGATCCTATTTTAAAGAAACAAAATATAATGAAACCCATTTTTTTGTACAATTAATATGCTCCAATTTTAAAAAGTAGGGGAACACCAGAAGAGAACTCAGGCAGACTTCTCTTGAAAGAGAATATATAAATGGCCTGTAAGTCCTTAGGGAAATGTAAAAAAATGAGGTATCATTTATCTATACCCCAGATCTTATCCTACCTTAAAAAAAATGAGTTAAGGGGCTGGAGAGATGGCTCAGCAATTAAGAGCACTGGCTGCTCTTGCAGAGGACCCAGGTTCAATTCCCAGCACCCACATAATAGCTAACAACCGTCTGTAACTTTAGTTCCAGGGGATCCAACGCCCTCTTCTCACATCCTTGGGCACTGCATGACATGGATGCACTTACACATATGCAGGCAGGCAATACACTCATACATATAAAATAAAAATAATTAGTAAAAATTTTTAAAATGATTTTAAATGTATTTGTTAGTGTTTTACCTGCAGGTGTGTAAGTGCACCCACGTGTGCAGTGTCTTTGGTGATCAGAAGAATGTATTGGATCCCCTGGAACTGGGGATATGGATGGTTATTTACCAACATATGGGTGTTGGGAACTAAACCCAGGTCCTCTGTAAGAGCAGCCAGTGTTCTTAACTGCTGAGCCATCTCTCCAGCCCCCTTACTTTTTTTTTTTTTTAATGAACTATGTGACTGAGTAAACCATATAGTATTTGAAGGAAAGTATTTATTTATTTTAATTTTTTTCTCACTTTGTAGACCAGACTGGCCTTGAAATCAGAGATCCACCAGCTTCTGCCTCCTGAATGCTGGAATTAAAGGCATGTACCACCAAGCCCAGGCTAAAGTGTTTATTTATGTAAGTATTATAACTACTAAATGAAAGACATAAAACATCACTATTTTGGAACCACCAATAAACAGATGTAAGTATGGAGCATGGACAACTGCTAAGATTCTCTAGGTTTGTCACACACCATCCATGGTTTTTCTAAAGGATTAAAACTCAATTTGATCCAGTCTTAGATCCATCTTCCAAAGTGCAGAAAATGCAAAGGACAGACCAACATGTAGGATTGCCCTCTGTGCAACTGGAAATTTCAAACTGTAGGAGAACTCGGTAAACCAAATGGCCTGGATTCTTCCACAGATAAGTTATAAGAAAACAAAGGGATACAAGAGTAGCCTTTAAAAAATCTCACATGTTAAAAATGGCCAGCCGGGCATGGTGGTGCACGCTTTTAATCCAGCACTTGGGAGGCAGAGGCTGGTGTGTTCTATATAGCAAGTACCAGGCCAGCTGGGGCTACAGAGAGACCCAGTCTCAAAAAGACTGAAAAAAAAAAAAGTAAATAAATAAAAAATAAAAATAAGATGAACATGGCCAAAATTATAGCACTTAAGGAATGCATATTGGGTGACATATTTTTTAAATGCAAAGAAGTAACACCTTTAATCCCAGCACTCGGGAGGCAGAGGCAGGCAGATCTCTGTGAGTTCAAAGCCAGACTGGTCTACATACTGAGTTCCAAGACAGCAGCAAAAAAAGTAAATAAATAAAAAATAAAAATAAGATGAACATGGCCAAAATTATAGCACTTAAGGAATGCATATTGGGTGACATATTTTTTAAATGCAAAGAAGTAACACCTTTAATCCCAGCACTCGGGAGGCAGAGGCAGGCAGATCTCTGTGAGTTCAAAGCCAGACTGGTCTACATACTGAGTTCCAAGACAGCAGCTGCTGCAGGGAGACCCTGTCTCAAAAAGACCAAAAAAAAAACAAAAAAAACAAAAACAGTACATGTTTTTTTTTTTTTTTAAAAAAAAAAAAAAAAAAAAAACAAAAAAAAAAAAAAAAAAGACAATAATGTCTTTTGAGAGAGGCAGTTGAGAGAGAGAGAGACTTGTGTTGGGAGAGGACACAAAGGCTAATAGGTGTTGCATTTCTTTATCTGACTGGTATCATCTGCCTTATATGTGTGGGGGGTTATATTTGTGTTTGATTTTACTTGAAAATTTCTTCACTAAACTTTTTAGTAATATTCAAAGCTAACTAGACAATTAAGTAGGATAGGAAAAAAACAGAAAATTGGGTGGGAAATGATTGAACTGTTTCAACACGTAACAGATTCTTCCTGAGGATTTAAAACTGTTTAAGAAGAAATAATAGTAGATGCAGATCTTTAGCACATCATTTCCTTTCAACAATTTCTTTCGTATATTGGAGAAGAGATGGTCCCAATGAGCTTTCCATCTTAGATTATATCCTTCATATATTTGAGCTTGATTTGGGACTTGCTATTCAAAGCAACATGCTGTCCTACAACTCTGCAACTCACAAACGTAATAAATAATGTGTGTTGTCTTTCCCAAGTGGCTTAATTCTCCTCAGATTTCCAGAACATATAAATCCTTGACCAATGTTATTTTGTTCTGTTTGTTTTGAGATAAGACCTCATGTATCTTAGGTTGACCTTGGCTCCCTGTATAGCTGAGGATGATCTTGAGCTCCTGATCCTCTCGTGTCTTCCTCCCAAAGTTTTGGAATTACACCTGGCTTGACCTGTCACTGTCAATACCAGAATTTTTTGGCAGATTTCAAATAACTATCCTCATATCAGCTTAGAAATAGTTCCTTTTTAGTTCTGTAAAACTGATACTATAGAAAAAATATATGTATATATATCAGGTTTGGAGAGTGATTTCAAGATACCTAATTCTGAATCACATTAGAATTTTGTACTCTTTTATTTAAGTCTATATAAAAATATGTTATATGCATTTTAAAACCAAGAAACCATTTATTTGGCTGCTTTACTCCAAGGAAGAGGACCCACTTCATGTTCTAAAAATAAAATATGGTGGCACACACTTTTAATCCCAGCAGGTGGATCTCTGTGAGATCAAGGCCAGCTAGGTGTACACAGTGAGTTCCAGGCCAGGTGAGGCTACAGACCCTGTCCCCCCCAAAAAACAAAAAACCCAATCATTAAAAAATAAAAATTCCATGTTTTCTTTTCCTTTTTATATATTATCTAGCATCTAAATAGCTGATTACTTTGTATGTTTGTGTGTGTGTTTGTATATGTACATTTGTTTGTGTGTACATCTGTGCATGCAGGTGGGTGCCAGAGGTTTACACTGGGTGTCTTCTTCCATTGCTCTCTGTCTTATTTTATTTTTAATTAATTATTTTTATTTTATTGTATGAATGTATTACCTGTATGTATGTAAGTACACCTGTGTCATGTAGTGCCCACAGAGGTCAGAAGGAGGTGGCAGATTCCCCTGGAACTGGAGTTATGGATGGTTGTTAGCCACCATATGGGTGGTAAGAACCAAACCCAAGTCCTCTGCAAGAGCGGCCGGTGCTCTTAACTGATGAGCCATCTCTCCAGCCCCCTCCATCTTATTTTTTTGAGATAAGGCCTTGAGACTTGAACCTGTATGTCCTAGTTTGTTTTTTTCGTTGCTGTGACAAAAATACTATGACCAATACTAACTTGGGGAGGAAAAGGTTTATTAGGCTTAAATCTCCCAGGCCACAGTTCATCAGGGAGCCCAAGGTAGGAACTCAGGGCAGGAACTTGGAAGCAAGAGCTGGAGCACAGGCCATGGAGGAATACTACTTACTGGCTTGCTCCCTGGCCCCTGCTCAGCCCGCTTATGCAACACAGCCCACCTGCCCAGAGGTGGAACTACCCACAGTGGGCTTGGCCCTCCCACATCACTCATCAATCAAGAAGATGCCCCTCAGACATGGCCACAGGCCGGTTCTATGGAGGCAATTCCCCAATTGAGGCTCCCTCAACCCAGGTGTATCAACTTGACACTAAAGCTATCCAGCACACTGCGGCTCACTGATTTGCCTAGATTAGCTGATTAGTTGGCCCCAGGGATCCTTCAGTCTCTGCTTCTGCAAGGCTGGTATTACAGGCATATGCTACCATGCTTGGCTTTTTACATCGGTGCTGCGGATCCAAACACTGGTCCTTATGCTCTTGTAGGCCCTCTCTCCAGCCCCAATGGCTGAATACTTACAGTCTGACTCATGACTACATTAACACTTTTTGGAGATGTAGATGGAAAAGTGTTGTATTTTTATGTTCTGGGTACATTTCAAATACTCATTTCCTAAGATGTATTCTCTCTTTTTAAAAATTATTATTTTTTATTGTGTGTATGTATAGTACCACATGCATGCAGTGCCTATGGAGGCCAGAAGAAGGGGTCAGATCACCTGGAACTGGAGTCCCAGGCAGTTATAAGCTGCCATGTGGATGCTGGGAACTGAACCCAGGTCCCCTAGAAAAGCAGCAAGTGCTCTTTTTTTTTTTTTTTTCTTTTCCTGCAATCTACCCTTTGTCTTTAAAGGCACTAAATTTGATGCCTTCAACTTCTGTGTTTTCTGGTACTGGTAAGGCACTGGTACTGGTACTGGTAAGGTCTATTTTCTTGGTAAGCAAAATTTTAATCATTTTTACTAGTGTCTGATAGATGGCTTTCTATAGTTCTTGCTAAGATGAAATACTTAAAAGTTCCCTAGAGATTAGTCTGATATGTGCACACATGGTGCCAACTTTGCCTTTAAAAAAATATATATATAGTTTTTCCACTTTTCCTTGGCAGATAATGAAAGCATGGGGTGCTCACGTGACAGCTGTTTGCTCTCAAGATGCCAGTGAACTTGTAAGGAACCTTGGAGCAGATGACGTAATTGATTATAAGTTTGGAAATGTGGAAGAGCAGTTGAAGTCCTTTACACTGTAAGTAGTAGAACAGTCCTCCTCTTGGGAAGGTGGGTACAAGCACAGTTGAATATGCAGGTCTGAGGTGGCTTGGTGGCCTTAGAATCATGCTGGAATCTTCTAAAAAAATCTGAAAATATTCCTTGTTGCTGAAAGTCTATTTATATTCACTTCCATACTTATGAAGGCTTTAAAAAAACTGGTCTAATTTCTTAAAATTCATTTTTATTTTTTAATTTTGTGTATTCATGTGTGTCTGTGTATGGGTTAGTGCACCTGAGTGCAGGTGTGTTCAGAGGCTAGAAGATGGCATCCAATCCTCAGAAGCTGGAGTTACGGGAGGTTGTGAGCTATCTGACATGGGTGATGGGAACCAAACTTGAGTCCTCTGCAAGAGAAGTAAGTGCTCTTAATTGCTGAGCCACCTCTCCAGTCCTTGGTTTGCCAATTTTTAAAAGTATTTTATTTATTATTTTTATTTTATGTGTATGAGTATAGTGCCTTCATGTGTGTAAGTGCACCCATATCATGCAATGCCTGTGGAGGTCAGAAGAGGGCTTTGGATTCCCCTGGAGCTGGAGTTACGGACAGTTATTAGCTACTATGTGGGTGTTGGAAATCAAACCTGGGTCCTCTACAAGAGCAGCCCGTGCTTTTAACCTCTGAGCCATCTCTCCAGCTCCCTGGTTTGTTAACTTTAAAGGTAACTTTTATTGTTGGTTCATAAGAGATCTGAAGGCAGAACCTGAAACGTGTTTTCTTCTGTGGTATGTGTCACCACAGGAAGAATGAGGCATGAAACCACGTGATTGCCACTAAACACTCTTTCAGTGTTACAGCTCAATAAGGGCACAAGAAAAACATTATAAGAATAAATGCTTTAGAGGCAGGTGGTCTCTTGTGAGTTCGAGGCCAGCCTGGTCTATAAAGCGAGTTCCAGGCCAGATGGGGCTACAGGGAAACCCTGTCTCAAGAAGACCAGAAATTAAAAATAAATAAATAAATAAACGCATGGTGGCGGTGGAACAAGTGTGTTCACAGTATGTCTGAGTGCCAAGCTATGGTTTGACCTGAGGTACCAGATAGGGATGGACTGGGGAGTTCTCTCAAGCCCTGTTGCTCCTGACTGTAGCCTGTTTGTTAATTTAATCTCCATTAGCCAAGACAAAGCTAAAGCTGAGCGCTCTCTCTCTCTCTCTCTCTCTCTCTCTCTCTCTCACGCGCGTGCGCACAGTTTTCAGCAGCCGATTATTCTTGGCCACATTGACTAGAAGTGTAATTTTGTAGGTTAAAAGCAAAACAGGGGAGCCCTGCTCTGTTACTGCCTAGCTTCTCTTAACCAGCCCCACCACCTCCAGCAGCACTGTGACAGGCTCCCAGGAGCAGCCAGCCCGTGCTTTGTTTCTTCTGTTCTGGAGATTTTACTCCTTCCCAGCACTGCTCTAAACACTGGATACTGGTGAACAACTACATATCCCTCTTTATGGAGCTTGCATTCTAGTTGGGGAAGGTTGAGTGGTTAGTATTCTGAGGAATACTGATGCCAGGAAGCGGAGAAGAAATGATGGGGAGAAGGTTGTCATAGGTGGGGTAGTAAAAGAAGTCTTTGGGGAAGCATCTCCTGGACTTAGCTGAGTAAGCTGGTGTGAATGGGATTTATTTTCTTCTTTCCCTGTTCCTTGCTGTATCCCTCCACCTGGTACAGTAGTAGCACATAGTAAGTACACAATAGTATTTGATTATTTATTTGTGTGTATGTATGTGTGTGCTTGCGTGCATGAAAGTGTTTGCGTGTGTGTGTGTGTGTGTGTGTGTGTGTGTGCACATGCATGTGGGTGCAAGTCCTGTGTCTGAGTGGAGGCCGGAGGGGCATCAGGTGTCCTCCTCTATCACTTTCCACCTATTCCTTTGAGGCAGGATTCTCCCTGAACTTGGGGCTCAGTTTGTTGTTGTTGTTGTTGTTGTTGTTGTTTTGGCTAGGCTAGAAGCCAGCAAGCCCCAGTGATTTTTCTCTTTCCACCCCCTTTGGAGCTGGGGTTATATGCATGCAGCAGATACACATGGGTGCTGGGATCCAAACTCTAGTTCTCATGACTGTGCCGTAAACACTCTTAACCACTGAGCCATCTCTCCACCCCCCCATCCCTGATTAATTATTGCAGGAATCTAGAAGAACAGTTGTTCCAACTTGAGATAGAAGCAGATATAATGCTCTTGTGTTAGGAACATATTTAATGTGCTTGAGAATTCACAGCCGAAGGGTCTTGATGTCAAGGCCTATACTTCTGTAGATACTGGAAAGTGAGGACATGACAGGTATCCAAGATCTGGCTTCTGGATAGTGGTAGTTGGGTTGAGCTCATATCTTCTGCTAGGAAGAGCAGCATGACACAGAAGCCAAGGTCAACCTCATTTCCTCTGTTGACCTTAAGTCTTACACATGTCCATAATTTGTTTTCAAAGAAAGGAGAAACTGGCAGCTGGAAGACGAGGATATTGAGTCTGGCCTCAGGTGAGGATGGCAGTGCCCCTCGGTGTCTCTGGCAAGTCCCTTGTCTGTTTGCTTGTACTTTTCCAGTGGGGACTTTAATGGCTTACAAGTGCAAGCCTTTATTTTTCTTTCCTTCCCTCCCTCACTCCTTTTCCTCTTCCTTTGACAGTTTTAGTTAAAATTGATCATTATAATTTCATTATATTATTTATAGAGGTTGAACTCCACCTCTATAAACAATGTACCTATAGTAAATTTGTTCCTTCTTCCAAGTAGTGACTTTTCCATATTTGAGTCTTAGAACTTTTATAATAAAAGCAAGAAGGAGTTTGAAATCCTCTAGTGCATCCCAATCACATTATAGTTGAAAACATGAGAGACAGAGGTTTTTAGGACTGTTTTGTTTGCTCAAGGCCCTGCCATTTATCATTAATGGGAAAACTCATCCTACAACTAGTCCCCAGACTTCTTTTACGTTTTCCCTAAATCAGGTATCCTCATATTTGTTACTAATACATTAGGAATAAAGTAGACACTTTCTAATGAGAAGAATAATCCTCTGGTAAGGTCATTCTCCCGCCCTTCATATCCTTTAATTTTTGTCTTTCTGTAGTTTAATCCCATGAAAGACTTGAGATTCCTGAAGCTGGCCAAAGCTATTTTCAAAGCTTTGATGTTTGACTTCCCCAGATGAATTTCAAAGGGAAAAAAGCTTTACCCAAGAGAAATTCATAAATTGATTTGCTTAATTTATACACATGCATTCACCAAATAGGCCTTTGTTTTTTAAAGTACTTAAAAGCTTTAGCAAGTTTTTATTCCTTTTTAAGTACAGTTTAGTGATTATAATAGTATTAGGTCAGATTTAGAGATTTAAATATCTGTCAGTTCTTGTAGATTCTGGTATGACAGTTTGGGGTGGGGGCATTTTAGAGCAGCACTGAAGACTGACAGGAGGGTGTTAGGTTTTCTTCATGCGTCACCTTGAAACAAAACAAAAAGAAAAAGAAAATAGAACATTCCAGAAGGTAAAGACGATGCATTTCTGACTGACAGGGAATAAAAGCAAGTCTTTCTTACATTCACTTAGAAGTATGTACGTGAACACCTTACATATTTTTCTTTCAAATAGTCATGTAAGTAAAAAATACATTGACTTTGGGTGTGGTGGCACATGCCTTTAATCCCAGCACTCTGGAGGCAGAGGCAGGCAGATCTCTGTGAGTTCGAGGCCAGCCTGGTCTACATAGTGAGTTCCAGGACAGCTGGGGCTACAGGGAGACCCTGTCTCAAAAAAGACCAAAAAATAAAAATAAAAAAATAAAGTGCCTTTGTCTAATTAAAAATAAAAATACATTGACTTATACTGAAAGGATAGCTTTGCAGTCCTCAAAAAGCTTAAGTCATGGTTTTTCAACTTTGGCGACCTTAGTTCTGCAACGACTAATATTTTATTAATTGTTTTTTTTTTTTTTTTTTTTTTGGTCTTTTTGAGACAGAGTCTCCCAGTAGCCCCAGCTGGCCTGGGACTCACTATGTAGACCAGGCTGGCCTTGAACTCACAGAGATCCACCTGCCTTGCCTCCCAAGTGCTGAGACTACAGATGTGCACCACCATTCCTGGCTTATAACTAATGCTTTAAGTGGAATGCTTTTTTGGTGTGAGGCTGTGTACTGTGCTCAGATTGCCCTGGTTCAAAACCACTTGCCTAAGTCATTCTTATGGTATAAGGTATTTAAAAACATATGATTTTTATGACCAAAAAATAGTTACATTTTATTTATCTTGGAGAAAAGCTGTAAATGAAGTGAATGGAAGTATTCTCTCCCCTCTATCAAAGCAACCACCCTTCTGCAGGATCACGCTGCGTGGCATGATTTATGAGCTGTCACCAAGTAAACCCTGTAGCTAACTGGCAGCAGAAGTGAAATAGTGTTGGTGCACAGTGTAGAGACTGACTGCATGTTCCTTTTTAATTATTTCTTTCCAGGTTTGACTTCATCCTTGATAATGTTGGTGGAGCTACTGAATCATGGGCTCTAAATTTTCTCAAGAAGTGGTCGGGAGCCACCTATGTGACTCTGGTGACTCCTTTCCTCCTGAACATGGATCAACTGGGCATTGCAGATGGCATGTTGCAGACAGGAGTCACTGTGGGTACCAAGACTTTAAAGGTAGGAAGGCAAATCTTGATTGGTAAGAATAAGCAGTCACCTTATACTGATAGAAATTGGCTTGCCACTTGGCCACTTTCTCTTCTCCTGGAGCCAGCCTACCACACTGGCTACCAGCATGGTTCTTAAAATCACATTGACCGGGTTCAAATTCTGACCTCTATTTAGTAGCCATGTGATCCTGTACAAATCACGTACCATCTCTAAACCCAGCGTCTTCATCTGTAAGAGGAAGTTGCTAATCTATGCACCTTCCTGCACTGTTGTAAGCATTCAACGAGATGATCCACGTGAAGAACTTGGCACAGTTTCTGGTACACAAGAAGCACTTATTAAATGTTAGCTGTGTTATTACCTCTCTCCGTTCTATCTGATATACCATCTGCTTCCTTCCTCCCTATACCTGATGATTTTGTTTCTTACTAGTCTTTATACCCTGTATATAAAGGTAGAAACTTTACTAAAATAGTGTACAGCTGCTATTTTAATGGCAGTGGCATTAGGATAGTCTAGTGGTCCCCATACTGGGGCTTTCTGACCATTAGAGGTCTATGGGTATTTTATGGAATTCCAAAAACCTTGAGGAAATTGTACTTTTCCTTCTGAGGCTATGGAGGCTAAGCACCATCGTGCCTTTGCCAGGGTCTGTTACTTTGTCCTAGCACTTATATCCCCAGTGAATTATAAAGTCTAGTCATTGGTGACATTATGGGAGTTTCTAGAACTTTAGATTAGTCATCGTGGACTATATTGACAGACCACTGTTTCTAGGACTGTATAGCGCCCAGTCTGAATGTACCTAGTGAGTGGTGGGCCTTGGAGGCAAGTGCCTGTCAGCTTTGGTTACAGGACTGAGAGTAACACTGTGTCTGCTCTCCACTTAATACTGTCACCTCGTCACAACAATGGGGACAGAGGTGTAGATAATTTCAGGTTATAAATTGTTGGTATTTGGGGCTGAAGAGATGGCTCAGTGGTTACAAACACTGGCTGTTCTTGCAGAAGACCCGGGTTTGAATCCCAGCACCCACATGGCAGCTAACAACTGTCTGTAACTCCAGTTCCAGGGGATCCAACAGCATCTTCTGTCCTCTGCAGGCATTGCATGACACGGGGCACTTACGTACATGCAGACAATACATGCATACACATAAAAATAATAGTGTTGGAATGATATACGTGATAGAAACTAATAAAGGTAAATCATATTTTATTTTTATTAAAATACATTATTTTTATTTTATGTGTATGAGCGTATGGCCTTCATGTATGTGAGTGGACCTGTGTCATACAATGCTGCGGAGGTCAGAAGAGGGTGTCAGAGTTCCCTGGAACTGGAGTTAAGGGTGGTTCATTGCCACCATGTGGGTGGGACTCAAACCCGGGTCCTCTGCAAGAGCAGTCAGTGCTCTTAACCCCTGAGCCATCTCTCCAGCCCCAAGTGTATTTTCTTAATTAGACAAAATGTTTCAGACTCAAGAAAAAGCCAGTGAAAGGGCCTCAAGGTAAAAGGCTGGCCCTGGGTGTGGCCGTCACCGTTCATCTCGGCAGCCATCTTCAGCTGCTTCTCTCCCTCCTTCCCTTTCCATTCATTCCTGCCTGCCTTCATTCTTTTCTTTTCTTCTTCTGAGTGTTTTGGTATGTGGTGCTGGGGATTGAACTCAGGGCCTCACACATGCTGAACAAGCAGCACCACCAAGTCACACCGTAGCCCTTTAGCTACTTCTTTTTTGAGATAGGGTTTCACTATGTAGTTCAGGCTGGCCTGGAACTTGTACTCCTCTGCCTCGACCTCCCAAGTGTTGGAATTACGGGCATGTGCCACTGTGCCCAACCTCCTACCAGCTTCTTTATGCTAGAAATTAACTTGGGGACCTTTCAGGTGAAATGTAAGATTTTGATCTCTTAAATTTAGATATTCACTAACTTTTCAGAGGTAATAGTAGAGCTGTGATTGAGAACAGCGTGACACACTTAGTTCAGGTGAAACACGTGTGAGTGCTAGAGGCGAGCAAAGCGAGCTCTGTGTGCTGGTCTTCTTGATTTTTCTCTGCATTTAAACAGCATATAGAAACAGTGCCTCAGGCTGGTGGAGAAAGCAATCTTAGTTGTTCTTTGTCTCAAAACCTGGATTTTCCAGGCTTTAAAATGCAAACTAAAGGGGCTGGAGAGATGGTTCAGTGGTTAGCACCCACATGGCATCTCACAACCATCTGTAACTTTAGATCCAGGGGATCTGATGCTCTCTTCTGAGCTCATGTGATATATGTGTATACATGCAAGCAAAAATACACATAAAATTAAATAAGTAACTCTAAAAACAGATTCTAAATGGAAGCTTAAGCTGTGTGTGAGATTTTTACAGTCTGTACTCCAGTAAGTCTTCCACGTTAACCTTCAGAGTTGTGCTCTGAGACTACAGCAGGCTCAGCTCTCCTGTTTTCTCCTTCCCCCCACTTGAGAGATGATAGCAGTAATCCTCTATGGAAACCCTTTGAGCAGCTCTGAGAAGGTGCAGTTAGAGCCTCGTTGTCATGCTTCTGACTCACCTGTGTCTTTGGTTTGTTTTCTCTCAAACAGCAGAACCTAGAAATTCTGTTATTGTAGATCAAAGGTTTCAGCTGTAAAGTGCTATGAAGACTTTTAGATGTCATAGTTGTGATCACTTTAGCTCCTTTATTTATTTATTTTTTGGTCTTTTTGAGACAGGGTCTCCTGTAGCTCCAGCTGCCTGGAACTCACTCTGTAGACCAGGCTGGCCTCGAACCCACAGGGGATCCTCCTGCCTCTGCCTCCCAAGTGCTGGGATTAATGGTGTGTGCCACCACGCCCGGCTTAGCTCCTTTTTTTTTTTAATACACTGAACGATTACCAGAATGTTTTAATTGCAGTCTAAGAGGCTACACCAGACTTTAGGGAGAATCACCTGAACAGGTCTTCTGTGAGCGTCATTTACTGGGCCCCTTGTAGGCTTGGGTTATTCTCAGTGCTGTAGTATCTAACCACATAAATCTTAAAGTGGCCAGTGAGTTGGCTCAATGGGTAAAGAAGGTCTTGCCATCAAGGCCTGATGACCTGAGTTTGATCCCTGGTACAGAGTTGGAAGGAGAGAACCTACTCCTGCAAATTGTCCTCTGACCTTTTGGTACATATACACAAACACACACACACTCAACAGTAAGTGGAATTAATTTTTTAAATCTTCAAATAGCATGTTTTTCTTTTTAAATTAGTCACCTAGATCAGTACTTCTCAGTCTCTTCCATGCCATAACACCCAGAAAATGATAGTGCTTAAATAGCATATTGGAGCTGCTATAAGCCAAGAGCCATTTATGTGGAGACTTCTGCCAGCGTGGGCTCTGCCATGCTACTCTGAGGGATTGAGGGGGTCTGTTCTAGAACAAAGTCTCTTAAACTGTGGGTCATGACTATATACGAGTCATATAACTGAACGTAGAAGTCATGAAAAATTTGGTGACAATAAAGGCTTCTAAGTTTCTTTGTCTATTGCTGTGATAAAATAGTCTGACAAAAGCAACTTAAGGGAGAAAGGGTTTATTTTAGCTGGCAGTTCAAGGTACAGTCCATCATGGCAGGGAAGTCGCGGCTGCAGGAGCCTGAAGCAGCTGGTCACATCACAGCCACAGTGAGACACAGAAAGCAATGAATGCATGCTGGTACTTAGCCGCTTTCTCTGTTTTATACAGTCTTAGAGAATTTTCCTGCTCACAATTAAGATGTATCTTTCTATATCAATTAATGGAGTCAAGATAATACCCCACAGGCATGCCCAGAAGCCCATCTCCCAGGTGATTCTGCAGTTGACAGGTAACACTTACCATCACAACTTTTGAATGTGCAGTGGCCAAAAATTAATTCAAAAATCAAATGCATAATCTCCCCCGCCATAAAAATCGAATGTGTTTCTGGCCTGTGTTGTATTTTGCATGACAACCCCACACAGTGCCAACGTTGCCTGCAACATCCAGCTCACATCTGAGTCCACCGTAGGTTCATGAGGTGCAGTGTCTTTACTGCACATAGTTTTCTTCTTATAGACCTGTGATTTAATTACGGAAAACAACTTTGAATGTTTTCCTTCTGTCATTTCTCAGCACATATCTCTGTATTATGTCTTTGGATTGTATTGTGTTAAAATGTTTGATTTTTAAAGACTGTTTGAGTTGCTCTCCTTTTAAAAACAATATTTTATTTATTTTTAATTATGTGTATATGTGTGCTTCTGTGTGTAGGTTATATATATGCCTGTGAGTGTAGGTGCCCACAGAATCCAGAAGAGGGTGTCAGATCCTCTGGAGCTGGAGTTTTAAATAGCTGTGAGCTGCCCAACATGAGTGTTGGGAACTGAACTCAGTCCTCTGCAGTAGCATCGTGTACCCATAACCACTGAGCCATCTCTCTAGCCCTTTCAGTTGCACTCCAGAGTTGCATTTTATAAAACGCTCATTAAACGAATTTTGGCTTGAGAAACATTTCTACCATTTCATGCTTTGCTAAGCAGCATTCTTAGCCTGATGATTATAAAATCAGAATATCAGTCAACCTAAAAAATGTTGGTTACTCTACATCCTGCAGTGTCAGATATTCAACCAAAATTCAAGTTGGGTTTTTTTTTTTGTCTTTTTGAGACAGGGTCTCCCTGTAGCCCCAGCTGTCCTGGAACTCACTATGTAGACCAGGCTGACCTCGAACTCAGAAAGATCCGCCTGCCTCTGCCTCCCAAGTGCTGGGATTAAAGGCGTGCGCCACCACACCCGGGGCAAAATTTAAGTTTTTGAAAAATATTTTATTAGTTTTATTTTATGTGTATGAGTGTATTGCCTGCTTGTGTGTAAGTGCCCCAGGTTGTGCATTGCCCATGGAGATCCCCAGAACTGGAGTTAGCCGCCATGTGGGTTCTAGGAACCAAACCTGTCAGCTGGGTGGTAACAGCATGCTACAAGCCAGGAAAGGGGCTGCAAGAGGGAGCTTGACAGAAATATCACAAACAGGAAGGTATGAGCTAGTGTCTGAGAATTCTACCGCTGTGCTCTCAGCTTTATGCTGTGATGTGCAGTGCCGCTCTGAGGGACTGTCAAGCCAGCAGTGAGCTCAGCTGGACATTCTGTGCTCACCTGGCTGGTTGTGTGTAGTTGCAAGGATGGAGCAGCTGCGAACTGTCCTCATACCACCTCTGAGAAGTGAGGTTGGGTGGACCATTAAGATGTCCTTCAGAGCCTCAGCTCACTGCTATTTTGAGTATTTTGATAGTGGCCCATCTACCTTTTACATAAAGGCACCACTGTTTGATACAGCATGGGTTATATAACGAGATCCTGTCTCAGAAGAAAGAATAACACTGGGCATGGTGGTACATGCCTTTAATCCCAGCACTTAGGAGGCAGAAGCAGGCAGATATCTGAGTTTGAAGTCAACTTGGTCAACATAGTGAGTTCCAGGCCAGCCAGGGATACATAGTAAGACCTTATCTTTAAAAAAAAAAAAAACCCAGCATTTGGGAGGCAGAGCCAGGCAGATCTCTGTGAGTTCAAGCCCAGTCTAGTCTACATAGCCAGTTCCAGGGCAGCTGGGGCCACAGGGAAACTGTCTCAAAATAAAAAAAAAAAAAAAAAAAAAAAAAAAGAGGAAATAATAATGGTTCTATTGGATACAGCAGTAAAGTTGAACCCTTTCGGTATAAGAAATTTTTTGCTTATCTTCATCTGGAGAGATTTTGTTCACAATAGAGAGGATGGCTTGGTGTTTTCCAGAACCAGGGGAAGACCCAGCCAAGATCTAAAAACTGTTTCATCTTTCTTTGATGCTGCCTTAATTCCTGTCAGAACCAGAAACAAAAAAAATATGATTGGGTTTCTTGTCTAAGATTTCATTTTGGTGCCTTATTATTTGGTGCCTAAGTCAGTTTTGAAGGTGGTAAAAGTTTTTTTGGGTGCCTCTTAGTTATCTTCAAATTTCAGTGGGGAAAGCCTAGAGGGCCTAGGCCCTAATTTCTCCTGGGGAAGCAGTTGTGCATGTGAGACTATGCAGACTGTCGTGTCAGGAGAGCTTTCCTGAGCTTGCTTGTCAGTCACTGCGTGGAGAAGCCCGACTGACGGGGATATGCCAGTCCATTTGTTTATTTCTTAAATACTGCAGAGTAGCTGCTCTTGTCAGTTCTCATGCCGCGGTCCTGGGCATTCAGCTCGTGTGTCAACATGAAATAGGAAATCACTTCGCTTGTCTTAGTCATGCAGAAAATGCCTTTTTCTGAATTGCATTTAGTTAGATCTTACCCTTTTCTGTGTACTTAATATGTTTGTTTTCTTCTTTTTAGCATTTCTGGCAAGGAGTCCATTATCGCTGGGCCTTTTTCATGCCCAGTGGCCCATGTCTAGATGAAATTGCAGAACTGGTTGATGCAGGAAAGGTAGGTGCATCCAGGGACCTTTTGTCTGGTAACCTTTGTGTTGTTGGTGCAGCCCTTGTCAACCCAGTTACTGGGCCTCACCCCTGGGCACTCTCCAGAGGCGGGATTCAGTCGGGATATACATTACCTTACACAGCCAACTTTAAATGCTGTATTTTTATTTCTGTTGCTACAGGAATCATGGGCAGAGACTGCTCAATCTTCAGTTTAGTCTACTCTCCTTCGTTTATAGATTAAGAGACAGGCCCAGTGGGGGCGTTAGGTGATCGTCTCAAAGGCACTTGATTAGAGAGTAACAAAGCTGGGATCTGAGTTGGGTTGCTAGTATTTTGGTAATGATCTTGAAAAGATGGCACCATGAAGGAACTTTCTGTACAAAGGACCACATACTTGCAAGTTCTCAGAACTGCTTCTGGAGCTCCCTCAGTCTAAGGGTGAGGCTGCCCTGAGGTGAGCCACTTTCCAGGTAATAGGGGAACAGTTTGGAATCTAAATCCTATAGTAGCTGGATGAGAAGTAGGTCCCAAGATCTTCATTCCCAGCCTAGTGCGTGCTAAAATCAAGGTGCATCTCAGAAGGTCACAAGGCATGGGTGACGATGAGGGTTTAGGCAAGGATGACTGGTTGGTATTCTCTGACTGCTGGTGCCTGTCCTGTCGGGGACTTGTAGAAAGGGACTGCTGCTTAGAGTCTAGTTATTCTTTCTTGAGTGTCAAAAAGGCTTTCCAGGCTCCTGGAGAGTGAAAGGCTCCTCAGCTAACCTGCTTGCTTGGATTCTTACTTAATCTTAGTTGCCCAACAGTCCATCCCTGGGGGAATAACCCGGAGGATACACTCACATCCTGGTGCTGATATATTTGCTATTATTGAGAGATCGAGTAGAGTTAGAGAATCTTATGGACCTTAGAGTGTGGCATGAGATCATAGATGCAGCAATTCTCGTTTTGTGATGATACTGTTGGGTCAATGAGAAAATGGGATGTGCTCAAACATGCAGAAATGGATGAACCCACAGCAGAACCCGTAGCTCCTGACTGCTAGTCCTGTGCTTTTCCTTCTCCATCATTTATCTGTCACTTTAGTGCTTGGGGATAATTTAGGACATTATCTTATTTTCTAGTTGGCATGGAAAGGGATAAGGGTAGGGGCAGACTTGCCATCACATGATCCGTGTTTAGATACTTGGAAAGAGCTTCTGGATTTGGGTTTCTTCTGGCCTGCCCTTGGCTGGCCTATTCATCTTCCATTTTTATTTTGGAAAGGGATGATTTTAGGAACTTTAGTGACTGTTTTAATACATTTGTTTTTCGTTTGTTTTTTCAATTCTGTTGTAGCTAAAGAACTATGTGGTCAAAGATAGGTTGGATTGATAGGTATTATTTTTGGCTTCAAGCTTGTGAACCTTTTCTTCCACTTCTAAATCATGTATATCCTGAGTAGAAATGTGCTCAGTGTCATTGTTACTGTGTAAGGGCCTATTTGTAGAGTTCTCCCACATCCCAAGAGGACACTTACTTTATTGCTACAAAGAAAGAAGGGACCATCACCAAATAAGTGAGGGCTTCATGTGGCGGGATCCTTCCTACTGCAGAGGTCTCTGTCCCCTAGGAGTTCACTGTGTGATTGTGCTTATCCTCTGTCTGCCCATGCTGTCCATGTGCTTATCATTGCCCTCTGGGAGTTCACTGCATAATCATCCTTGCCCCATATCTGCCATGTTATGCATGTGCTTATCATTGCTTTCTTGTATTCAACATATTATGACTTTGTCTCTACTTGGAAATTACTGTTTACCCGACAGAGATGAGAGGTGATTTGTGTACATACCAATTACATTTGGCAGATAACTGGTAGAATAGCACAAAAGGGACATGAGGAAAAGAAAATGCCCTGTAAGTGACCTTGAGGAGGATGAGTGAGGAAATTGTCCCTTCTCTTTTCTACTCAGCTGTTTGCGTCTGGGACTGTGTAAGCTGATAGGTGACTCTGAGGGCCACAGTGAGGTCAGATGTCTTGGCATGTCCTTGCTTCTCTGTGAATGTGAAAAGTCACTGCCCATGAACTGAGAAATGGGAAGTAATAACAACAGATTTTGTATATTGTGCTGTTAGAGGAGATCTACTCAGCTGGACAAGGGCATTTAAATTCTTCAAAGCTGTGAGGAGTGCTTAATGAATCTGATCAGCAGGTGTCTAAAAGAGGAGCTACAGCTGAGCTTTGGTACTGTAAGGCCACAAAACAGCTAACTGCTTTAAGTTTTTAGATAAATATATTCATGTTGTTCAAAATCAGAAAGCTGAGGTTATTTCAAGTAAGCATCCTTTGACTTCCACCCTTAGTCACTGAGATTCTGCTTCTTAGACGGCCATTCCTATCAGTTTCTTGTATCTATACAAACAAGAAAACTTTCTCTCTGTTCTAAAGACAAACAAGTCATGGATTATTTTACACCTTTCCTGTTTTTAAACAGCTTTCTTGAATTTATGTCATATTAGGATATTAAAATGTTCTTCACTCCTCATTTTTTTGGGGGGGAGGGACACCAATGAGTATATTGGGATTATTTACAGGAGTATGGGTAAGGGGTTACTTCCAGATGCAGAAATAACCGAAAGACTGCTATATCACCAAATCCCACCCCAGCAAGAGTGATATTTCACAAAAGCTGGCAACCTGGAGCTCACTGCACAACCTGCAGGAAGTTCAACAGGTTGGAGAGTGTCCTTTCCAGGTAGCTTGGCTGGTTTTCTCTTCTAGGCAGCTCAGCTTGTCTGAGGATCCATTCCTCATTTTGTAAACAGCTGCATTAGGTATTCCTTTGCACATCTATTTTATCAGTCCAGTCTTTTGCAAATAATGCTTCAGTGGATAACCTAGTTATTGTGAGTATATCCATTTCAGTTTATGGAAATGGAATTACTGAGACAAAAGTATTTTGATGAATATTAAGATAGCCAGCCTCTGAAAATTAGTCTGTTTGATTTTTGTAATTTTTCTTATGATTCCCTTCTAAGCCCCTGTTTCTCTTTATTTCCCAGTTGTCTTGCCCTCTTGCTGGTTTGACTTCATGAGAGACTTGTTTCTGAAAATGTGAAGATAATCTGATGCTGGTCACTTATAACTTGAACTTTCATGATTAAAAATAGTGTCTGGGGCTGAGGAGATGGCTCAGTAGATGGAGTGTTTGCTGCATGTTCAAGTTTGTTTCTTTGTTGCTATGAAGAACATCATGACCAAAGCAACTTGGGGAGAAAAGGGTTGATTTACAGTCCATCATCAAGGGAAGTGAAGGCAGGAACTCCAGATAGGAACTGGAGCAGAGACCTAGGAGGAATACTGCTTACCAGCTTGCTTCTAGGCACATGTTCAACTGCGTTTCCTATACAGCCTAGGCCCACAGTGGGCAAGGCCATCCCACATCTATTAGCAATCAGAAAATGTCCCAGGACATGTCCACAGGCTATTCTGATGGGAGTACTTCCTCAATTGACGCTCCCTCTTCTTTGATGTGTCAGGTTGGCAACCAAGACTGGCCTTCACATAGCATAAGCATGAGGACCTGAGTTTGGTTCCCCAGTACCATCTAAAAAGCTGGGTATGGTGGCACATGCCTGTAATTCCAACACTGGGTAGAGGAGACAAGAGGATTCCAAGGGTTTACTGTACAGTAAGTCTAGCCAATCAGTGAGAGACTCTGTCTCAAAAATCAAGGTGATAGCCAGGCATAGTGGCATATGCCTTTAATCCCAGCAATGGGGAGACAGAAGCAGGTGGATCTTTATGAAATTAAGGTCAGCCTGGTTTCCATAGGGAGTTCCAGGCCAGCTGGTGCTACAGGGAGACTGTCTCAAAAAACCCCCAAACCAAACAAACTTTTTAAGGTGGAAAGTGATAGAGGAAGACATCAGATGTCGCCTCTGGCTTCGACGTGGACACACACACACACACACACACACACACGCACATACGCACGCACGCATGTACACACGCATTTGGATTAATAAGTATTGTTGATGGAGTCCTGCTGGCCCTATATGTACCAGTAAGCACAAAGAAGCTGCAGATCCACAGTACCACAGTACGAAGCCGTCATTACAGCACCATTTTTACACTGTCATTTGTGAACACCAGCCCTGCCTTTGCCTTGTCACAGGGTAATAGTCTGTACTTTTTACATTAGAGTCCTCTGACTTTAATGTGCCCACCATTAGTTAATTTTGTTTTAACCACGGAGCCCAGTCATTTATACAAAAGGCAGAAAAGGAGCATGTGCTGTTAACATGATGGCGGAGAATGGCCTTTTCTAGTGTTTCTTCTTTCCCTATGGCCAAGAAACCTGGGGCTCTCAGATACCAGTATGAAAACTATTCTGCTGGGATCTTGAAAGGGATAATTGCTTGCTAGGATATTGAGTACAATGGGCTTCTGAAATTCTGCTTTGGGCCTATAGTTTATTGGCATTTCTCCCTAGCACAACAAACATTTCCTGTTTTTATATTGTTTAGCAAACTTTTTTTGATGGGAGTAAGAAAGCCATAACAATTTGATTAGCATAGGTTAGAATAGAAACCCTGGTACTTCTCTACTGTCCTTAGTAGTCAGCTACTGATAAGAATAACTGTGTATTGAGGAAAAATATTGATATAAATTTGCTTACATATGCATGTGTTAGTTTCCGATTGAGTAAACAAATTATCCCAAATATGGCCCATGTTCCAAGCTTCAAGCTTCATATTGCAGTTGGATTCTGATCCATAGAGATTGTAATGACTAGAGTTGTCCAGAGAAGTGCTAGAAGAGGGTTAGCTTGCTTGATGTGTCCAGTGTCTCATAGGTTGGTAGCCTTGATGCTTCTTTATGTCGTTTTTAGTTTTGGGGACAAAGTCCCAAGTCTCACTATGTAGCACAGGCTGGCCTTGAATTCATGGAACTCCCACCTCCAGCCTCTGGTGTGCAGGAATTACATACGTGATAATCATTCCCAGCTTTTCTGGAGTTTT